TCCGCCATTGCTGTTCTATAGACCGGAAGTCTAAGGTTTAATTTCTTTAGTTTTATTGCTCTAAGTAGCACTGGAACTCTGTCTTGCCCTTAGACAGTGGCTTGTAACCTACCATTCCGCTCAACAAAGTTTGAAGCTTTTATCCCATAGAAGTGGCTTTTTTACTGGAGGAAGAGCTTCTTCCATTAGAGGAATGATCCTTAATCCTGAGGAGGACTTCAGACTTCGCTGAGCAGAGTGGTAGGATACAAGCCAATTTTTGAAGTTGAATCTGTACATGGAAATGGAGCACTAATATTAAAAAGCTCTTCAAAATCAAAAGTAGATGGCCACATTGTTCCATAACAAAACTGAAAAGAACAGCCATGTAATATTTTCATTAGAACCAGCTACAATGGTGGAGGTGGAAAGTCACAGCTGATTTATGGTGACTCTGTAGGGTTTCCAAGGCAAGAGATGTTCAGAGGTGGCTTGCCATTTCCTGCCTTTGTGCAGCGGCCGTGGACTTCCTGGGTGGTCTCCCATCCAAGTACTAACTACTGCCAACCCTGCTTAGCTTCCAAGATCAGGCTAGCAAAACAGCACACAAAAAAGTACAAGCTTTCTAGTTCTCCATCAGGCTGGATATCTACCCCCCCTCCAAAAAAACCCCAAACCTTTGGTGAGGGAAGAGAAAAGGATTTTCCAAGTCAGGGTATGGCTAGTATCAGGATGCACTCTTGACATGCTGGGAACACAGAGCAAAAAATGGAAGCCATCCAAGTGAACAACCAATAGGTGACCAAATGTCTCCAAGTGAACAACCAATAGGTGACCAAATTATCTGAAAACAATCTCCCACCCCCATTTTGTATCAGCCCTTTAGGAGCAGTCATAGAGAAAGTATGGAGATGACTAACAAGAGTGGATCAGCTGGATTTGGAAAGGAAATTTAGTAGCAGTAGAATACAAATATCAAACCACTGAGAGAGGCAAAAGAGTAAAAACTTTAAAGGAAGAAGAACAGGATATGGAGAAGGGAGGGGGATCTAAGGAAGAAGGCGGACATAGTCATGACAAACAGAAAAGGTTCAAGGAGAATCAGAAGACAAAACAGTAAACAGATTCTACATTTTAAAAGCATTGGAATACACATACTGCAGTAAGGTAACAGAAAAATAAAGAAGTGAATGTAGTGCCAACTGAAAGAAGGGGCAAGGGGGCAAATTGAAGAACCGTTGCACACATATTTTAGCAGAAAAAAATGGTCAGGTGGAGTCACATATCACTATGGCATTAATCTCCAGCAATATGTCAATTACTGATTTCCTTTTAAATGGGAAAAAATCCCTCCCAGTGGCCTGGGGGTTGGGAGTGGTGAATGCACGGGACTGAGGCAATGAAAATGGTGCTGATATGGACAGGACCTGCAAAAAATGTACACCTTGCCTGCCACATAATGTGCAAAGGTGCTCCAACAAAAGAATCACACCTACCCAGGTTTGAGAAAGATCACAACAAAGTGAGGAGGGTGGAAATAAAGAAAGTGGATGATTAGGACATGTGGATGCTTCAAAACAACCCCTCTTTCAGTTTCTATATGAAGCTGTGTCGAAGCAGCCTAAAATCAGCCTGCAGGTGAAAGCTGGTAAGCAGAAGAGGGAGGGAGGGAGGGAGGGAAGGAAGGAAGGAAGGAAGGAAGGATCTCTCTCTTGCCTACAGCTTCTCTCTTGCAAATGAACTGCCCCGTATTAGCATTAAACAGGCAAACATGAGAACCCCATGTTTTCTGTGTGACACGAAGAAGAAGAGGAGGAGGAGGAGGAGGAGGAGATTGGATTTATACCCCGCCCTTCACTACCCATAGTTACCCTTAGTTATAAATAAGTTTGGCAGGATCAGGCCTGAGTGTGGTGTTTCCTATATTCTGCTAACTTTGCCATCACATCTCACACAACAATGTACTGTTACTCTGCAGACACAAAGAGAAAGAAATATGAGAAGGAAAAGTACATCTCAGTTCCCAGAGCATTAGGTGCCTTCTGCTGAAAAGTTCAAGCTCTGAAATAGACAGGGTTTGCCCGCTTAAATGACTGACTAGGCAGTGTGGGGAATATAAACATATATGAAGACCAATAATCTCTGCACAACAGATTAACTTGGGGGAGAGAACTAACATTTAGAAAAGATTAGGCTCTGAATACAGAGGGGAAAAGAAGAGGACAAATCTCTATAAGCACGAAAAAACCCAACATGTAAAAGCATTAGAGATATCAAAGTGGAAAAATAGATGTATTATGGAGCTCCAATGTAAGAAACATGTTGACCCATACCACAGATAAAATATACTGTAATGATATTGAGTCAATAAAACATCCAAGGAGTAAAATATACCATAGCAGGATCACTCTTGGTACTATACGACCATTATGGTATATTTCACTCCCTGGATGTTTTATTGACTCAATATTTAGATGTGATACATTGCATCTTACAGTATATTCTAACGTGGGATCTCCATAATACATCCATTTTTCCACTCTGAAACCTCTAATACTTCAGTAGTTTTTTTAAAGACGAATGCAGGCCAGAATATGGTCTCTCAGAGATGAAGTTGAGAATCTGGGGCCTGGGTCTTTCTCTCCCTCCACACCATCTTTTGTGTTTGTCACTTATAGCCACCTGCTAGGAAGAAATCTGGCCAGAGGGCATATTTCCTTAAGACAGCAAATGAACTGATTTCAGTGTGTGCCATAAAAACAATGATGAACAGAATCAGTTCTGTCCCTCCAAGAAAACAGCAGCATCACGTGCAAGGAGAGAGAAATTATACTTTTTATTTGAAATATGTTGCCATATTTAAAGCTACACAGGAGGTATGACATGGAATCAGTGTGGATTCCTGCTTGGTAACATTGTTTTGGATTTGGTAAAATAAGCTTTGAACATAACCAAAAAATAATTGTACAAAAAATCAATTCAAACAATCTGTCATAAGGTTCAAATAGTTGGATGAGGTCTTGTTAAGAGTAAACAGGATAAAAAGTGCATAGCAACCCCTGAGCCTCCAGCAAAGATGACATTTATAAAGAACCAAACAAACAACCCCAGCCTGCTTTGCTCTGATTGAAATAAGTAATTTGCTCCAGGGAACAGAAAACAGGATTAAACTGCTGACCTTCAGCTGTCTTGTGGGAAGTCAGTACTGGCCAGTTACATTTCTCACCCCATTTTGCAAGCACACGTAATGCGTCATCAAAAACACCAGGCTCTTTTTAGATTTTTGGAAGGGGTGGGGGGGAAGGAAGAGTATTTTTATACTGAATTTAAATAAGTAATCCTGTTACTGGTGATCTTGATGGCAAACTCAGTTTCAGCTACAGTACCGGAGCTTTTAGTGAATGATATTGAAACTTGATTGTGCAATATATAGGACAGTACTAGTCAAAGGAAAGTTACTTCTATAGCTGCGGAGTGCTTCCTCCCTTTAACCCATCAGCAACATGCATTCTTCTTGTTCCTTTTTTTTTTGCCTTTGCCTTTTCAAAGCACATGAGCAGATCCCATTGAAGCTGTTATTGCAGTATGGATGCACTGATTCTGTGCATGCCACTGGCAAATAAGATGATCCTTGCATTGAGCCATTGACCTACATGACAGCAGAAGGAATTGTGGGATCACAGTGCATGCACCGCTATCAGCATAGGGCAATATTGTAAAAATCCTTCTACCAAAAATCCTTCTACCTCTGGTTCTGATGAAAACATCACACCAGGAACCCAGGAGCTTCCATTCAGCTATGCCTTCAGTATGAACAAACTTTGGTAGAGCACAGGTATTGTAGGAAAGATATTAATGGGCACTGTTTACTCACAGCTACATGCAGTAAAGATGGCTATTTGTGCTTAAAACAGATTTAACATATTTTCTGCCTGACACACAGATACTTGAGATCTCACTTGCTGCACATGTTTGCACAAGCACATGCCCACTATGTACAACGACAAGATCTGTGCTCATAGTCATAGGTGCTGGTGAAGATTGTGTGGTGCGAGTGGGAATTTAAACAGATTTCTCATTTGGAAGAGACCGTCATGCATTGTGAATGGCGGGGGGAGGCCTACTGCCACTACATTTGTCTATACTGAAGGAAAAGCCAGAGTAACATGCTGAGCCAACAGAAATTATCTTCAATTTAAAACCCATTTGTGTTGTGTATTTTTCCTCATGCCTTCATTTAGGACAAAGCAGTGTTATCTCAGTGTGAAAGTGACTAAAGAGTGATATGATAAAGAAGAAGGAGATGAGGCTTGTGGGAGATGACAGACTGATCTTTCTCTCCCTCAGCTTGTGATCCTATAGTTTCTGAGGGTCAGATTAAGGATATATTTCTCCAGCTGATTTCCATATGATTTATAGCTCAAAATAATGCATGTTACTCAGGCATTTCATACCCTTATTCCACATGCTATTCTTATTAGTGTCTCAGTTTGGGGTTTTTTTCATGAACATTAATACCCCATTAACCTAGTACTAACTTCACTTCAATGTCCTTTTACAAAATCTGACAAAGACAGTCTCCCACCTTTGTGATACTGTTAACATGAAAACTCAAACCAAAGAACAGAGCACAATTTCAAGAGATGGAAGTAAACACTCTGTGGAAAACACACAAACACCTTCACTGCAATTATGGGTAAGAATACAAGGCAAATATGAAAGGAATTACAACAGAGAAGAGGAACACTGGTGCAGACATACTGTCTTGGGCCACCTAAGCTTAAATACTTGAGAAGCCTTGAATCTGAAACACCTATGATATAAACTCTCTGTTAACCTTTAAAATCCATCTTGGTACAAAGCATAATCATTCTGTAGTACTAACTATTAACATTTTTTAAAAACCCTGGATCTTGTAACAGTATTCTAAGTATAAAATTAACAAGTTGCAGACAGGTCAAAAGCATAATAGTCATGACACACCGTATTAAACTGGAGTTATTACAGCTTCTCTTGGGCTCTCCCTGTGGACTTTAAGGAGGCGTCTGGTTGGCAACTGTGAAAAGCAGGATGCTGGATGAAGACAGGTGACCACTGGTCTGATCCAGCAGAGCTCTCTTTGTTTTTAGAAATGTGCCCTTCTCATTTTAAGCAGCAGCACTTCCAAGCTTGCTCTTCCATACAATGACCTAACCTTAAACAGGTGTACTGCCCATGCTAGGTCTCTTTGGGCAAAGCCCTTCTTATCAACAAGGCATGACTCACTTGAAGGATGGCCAGATGGTCACACCTTATGGCTTTCTTTCTCAGTCAGAGATACATTCACCAGAGCTAAAATAATGATTTTTACATCTGTGTATTTACCGTACTTGAATAACTTGTAATAATGGAGGCAACCAAAAGGCCATCTGACCCAATCTTTTATACAACAGACTACTTTATCTAAAAGCACTCCATAGATAACCACAATAGATACTCCTCCTCACTGCAGTACCAGCAAGAAAAATAGCCTGAGGTGTCTTTAACTTGCTTACTCCCTTTAAAGCCCCGCATATGCATGTTTCACTAATCTTCACACTGAACCATAGGTTATGTAGTCTTATAGTTGCATGTATATGTAATCATGAACATGTGTGTTTTGCTTACAAGGAGGAAGAGGTTTTGCTGTAAAAGGATTCCCTGTATCAATATTCTCAGTATGGAGAGAATACAGCCATTTTTGTATGAGCATATTTTTTGTGAAAATTAAAATGATTTGGAGGGAAATCATTACAAGAATTTAGCCATCATAAAAAATATGTAATGTGCAAGCTGTATGCATTTTTCTAGCCCTCAGCACAAGATATCCCCCCAAAGCAAATTGTCTTTCCCATTGTAACCTATTCTTGTGAGATTCAACAGTCTATGGATTCTCCTCTCCCAAAAATGATCTCAAAAATATCATTTCTGTTGGTTCATAGGGATTATATACACACATGCACACCATTTTGGAATTGTGCATAATATGGGGACTGGGTTTGCTTGAAGGTTCTAACTGTTCTGGCCCTGACTCCTAAATGGGTCATGACTGGAATGTTTCTGCTTTGTTCAGGAGTATGAGTATACATTACAGCAACAAACACATTGCCACAATACAATCTACCCCTATGGTTCACCTGAATCCAGGAAGGTTATATCAAACACATAGGACCTGCCAAGATGTTACAGCCAATAAGAAAGCAGCATTTCAAAGGAGTTATACAATTACAAAGAGTAACTTCCTTATGAGGCGCACCAGATTCCTGGTTCTTCTTCATCCTGTCCTGTCTGCTTCACACTAGGGTTGTATGAAAAAGCCTCTCTTAAAGCCCCTTGTTAAAATAGATGACCTCAACGCTGGAGTTTTTCTCTCTGATCTGAGCTTGGAGTTCAGGTTCCAGGCGACTCACCTTCATTGAGCTGCAAAAGGAAGGACAAATTATGCCTTGTTTCTAGCCCAGTCCTGAAGCCCCTCACTAGCACAATCCCAACTGAAGTAACACCCAGAAGCTATAATGGAAGCTGTGAGCAGTGAGCATTGCACCTCTTGATAAACAGTGGGAACTTGGAAGAAAGAAAAAGCATTTATGATTATAAGATCTGATGCGAAAGATTATTATACATGTAGCCTAGAGATTCTTCAAAGACCCTCATCCAACCTTTTCCTTACTAGGAAATGACGACAGAATTCTAATTCTAAACAGGGAGAACTGCCTGGTGTCATAATTTCTATCACTCAGGTGCCAGACTAAATCCATCTTCTTGACACAGCCTTTAATAATGATTATCTTTCAGGGTTTTGTTTTCACTGCTACTGATCTTTGAAATGCACTCAGTGGACTGATGTATTCTCATATATAGTAAGTTGCCTTGAAGACTGAATAATGGAAAGTATGTATTTTAAAATAAACAACACAGCCATGAAAGTTGCTAAATAAATGACATAGCAATTATTATCACTGTTATTGTCATTCTTATCATTGTTCATTTGGTAACACCATCTTATAGGAAAACTGGAGCCTCACAGGAGGTATCTGCAAAGCCAAATCATACAAGAGTACTCCGTGTCTTCATAAAAGTGAAGAAACAGAGTCAGTGTATGGTATAGTGGTTAGACTGCCAGGTTCTGATGCGGGAGACCTAGTTTCAGAACCACATGCAGCCATGCACCTGAGAGACATTGGGCCAGTCACTTTTTCTCAGCCCAACCTACCTCACAGGGTTTTGTGAGGATTAAAAAAGGGAGGGACATTGCCTTGAGCTCCTTGGAAAAGGGCAGGATAAAAATGTGAGAGACGCAGAATAAATTATGCACAAAAGCAAACACAGACATATGTTTTACTTGCATAATTTTAAGGTATTTAGCATTTCCTGGTGCAGAATTTGGGTTACCTTGATGACCAATCTGGATTAAAAACAACAACACTGCAAAGTACACACAGTCCTGGATGAGGCTCTTTTATAGATATGTCAGATGGGTAATAAAACAAATTTTCAAGTGTGGAAAATGTGAGCCAGTTGCCAAGCTGGACCCACAGTACTCAGTTGCCTGCACCTGTTATATTACTGAGCACTAGTTGACAACCTGAAATTCCACTCCTGTGCCATGTACCATCTCCACGTCACCCTGTCCTTGTAGCTGTTAGACCACTCACTGTGAAACAAAAACCATGACAAAGGCATGGTGGTTTTCTGGTTCCTCTTGACATTACAAGAGGATGCTGCTTGCTACATTGGAGGCAAACGTCCATCCAGGGATGCAGAGGAAATTAACCCGTTAGAAAAGCTTTAACTGCCTGTATTGGGATAAGACATTTGCAACCTATATCCTAGATATCAATTTTCCTATAGAAAATATATTTCTAGTAAAGCTTCCTGAACTAACACCTACTTAAAAGGATCAGAGGACATAACATGCTAAACACGTGGCAGGAGTGCTCACCTTTTCTGTGGGAAGAGTGCACAGCAAAGAGGCGTAGCAAACACCAAGCTGTAGAAGAAGAGATTAAAAACAGGAGATATCATTTCTAGTTGCCATTTCTAACTTAGGAAGCTCCTGACTCTCTGGGGAATATGAACCTTATCAGCCACAGGAGACAAAGCCGTATATGGGTATCTTGTATCCCAATCAAGTCTTCTTTCCAGTCCAACGTGCTTTTTTGGGCTCTTACTCTCCTGTGCTGGAGTGGTGATCTTGTCAAATTTGAGGGTTGAATAGCTCCATGGCACCAAAGTTGTCACCATTACAGGTAAGTATGGTCCCTGCCACACGGCAGGGAAAACACTGGCCAAAGTGCGGCTTTTAAAAGCCACACCAAAAAAGAGACGCTGCAGCGGGATCCCACGATCTCCTGAGCCGCGGCACCATTGCTCCCCGGCACGATCAGATGCCGGGGAGGAAGAGACGATTGGGAGGGGGAGGCTACCGAACTGCGCATGCTCGCGCATGCGCAGTACGGCCGGGGGCTGGGGATGCGCCGGCGGAAAGACGCGCCAGCGATCCCACGGCCAGCAGTGATGCAGCCTTTTTTGCTGCGGGGTTTGGCCGGGAAGGGCGGATTGGGAACGGGCGCAGCACGATTCCCAGATGTTGCTGTGGGATCACGCCCGTTTGCTGCGGCCCCGATCCGTCCCTCTCCCGGCCCAAAACCTCTCGTGTGAACAGGGCCTATGTAGATCATGCTGCAGCAAAATGGGTCTTGGTGGTGTCACACCAAAGTTAAAATGTGGTTGGGGCACAGTTTGGCCAGTCATGCAGAAGGGCCTAAATTGAGATACCGAGAACTGAAAATACCAGTATTCAAAAGTGTCCTTTGACTCTTAAACAGATAAGAACTGTCCTCCTGCACAATCACAGAAAATTCATAATGGCTACCACAGAAAACCCAGAAACCTGATGCAAGGCTAGTACCAGGGGTCAGCCTGTAGGGCACTCGTCAAGGCCCATGTCTTAGCAGGGGTCCCACTGCCAACCCTTGGTGACCTTGGCCTGCTGCTTCTTCTCTTGGCCTTCCCCTCTTTGTGTGAGTGAACAGTGACAGGACTGAGAATGGGACATTCCCTCCCTATGAGCAACTGTGGCAACTGATGAAAGCAGCAAGAAGGTGGGCCCAATCCAGGAAGCAGGGGGCACTGATGAAACCTTGCTCAAGCCGCTGCCCCCATGCATGCACACAACTCTTACAGCCATACCCTGAGGAGTAGGGACCCATCACCACGCAACCAAAGTGATATCTGCATCATGCCCACAATCTTTCTACTTTTGGTCTTGCTAGCCATGTGGTCTTTGGCTGTGTTCAAAATCCATGCCCATACTGCCCATCTTATCTGCAAGCCCATGAGCTGCTTTTGAAAATCCTCACAGCCTCTTATCTCCTTCAGATAAGAAACAATCCTACTTGCACCACAGAGAGAGGGAGAAAGAGTTTGCTTACCACAGACCCACCAGTCCAACCTGCAAAGGAGCATTCATCCAGGGGTACCGCTGAAGAGAAACACAAGGGAGATGTTTATGCTCACAGTGGTTCTGGTTTGTGATTTTTAGAGATGCAAGTGTTCGTGTAGCAAGAATGTTAATATGTTTCTTGGGGAGACTTTTTCTGAGCCTGATCTCCTAGAATGACCAGAAGAAAGTCTACTTGGTACTTTCAGGCACTGTTAACCTCCATGGCGAAACTGTGTTAAAGAGCCCTATGGTAGTCTCACATCATCCATTTATTTGAGTTAGTTGTTCAGATGTCCTTTAATGAAGAGATCAATATTACTGTGATCTTCTGCGAAGGACTTTTCTGCTCAAAACCAGAACCCTTCAGACAGGAAGAAAATTAAGCTGCTTCCACACAGATTATTTGCTCTGTCCCAGCTCTCAGACTTCAGTGGGGTGGGGGGAACTGAATATTGACGTAACATAACTTCCGTCACCGTCCATGATTGTCACCCCCCTTTTCCTGAAGTTTCCAGAACATCCTTTGATCTGATGCTTCTGGAAACATCAGAGCCAAAATGTCCCCCCACATGTGGATGGGAGGTGCAGATTTCTAAACCTCCCTACCCACAGCTGGTGCCATTTCCCCCTCACATCCTTGCACACCTCCATTCCTCCTGCCACTAGAGGGATTTTTGCCTTTTTAAAATAAGTAGTAGGTAAATTGCTGTTAACACTCCCATACCTACTACCAAAACTACTCCAAAAGTCCCACACTGGTGGGGAAACTAGAGATTTGCCCTGTCTGGCCCACATGTGGAACAGCCCCCAGCTATTGACAATCTGTGGTGATCTACTTAGCAGTAAATACTTGGAAGGTGATAGAGACACAAAAGACATTAAAAGACATCCCAACTTGGCATACAAGAAAAGGGAAGCTTAGTAAAGGCCTGCACAAATGTACATCCCACTAGTGATTAAGTCAAGAGATTAGAAAATATCATTAAGGTTTTTGGATATTCACAGGGTGCATCCCACACAAGTGAATAGGGGAAGTGTTAGTATGTAATCCTATACACATGCCACATTAAATCTCATAGTGGCCTCAGATACCGTGAGGTAAACATGATGTTTGTTACAATATGGTTTTGTTTCCTTTTTACCTCAGATTCTCTGCCTGCAAAATAGGAAGAAAGCCACCCTTTAGCAAAAGATTTTTTGTTGTTTACACCAGTTTGACCAATCCCAGTGTTTCAAAGACAGAAGCCAACACTCTTTACAAAAAAATACACTTCTTCTACTGATTCACATTTGTAATGGTAGCATTGTTGTGACACAACAGCAAACAGAAAAAACAAACACTGGCTCTATAGTCTAAAACAGCAAAGCAAAAAATGTGGTCAGGGAAGCTTACAGGCGTGGGATGAAAAACTAGGAGGTCTGTGAGTTCAAATAAGACACAGAAGAACTTACCTTCAAAAAAGCTCTCTTCTCTAGTGCGTGCATGATCACAGGAGGTATGGCTGTGCAGAAGGAAAGGGAAAAGTGGTATGAAATGTATTCCCCCACCTGGTTGTCTCCCCAAGGAAGACAGAAAGAGAGATCTGTATTTCTGATTTCATCCAGACTTTTTTTTGTTTTCACTTAGTGCTCTATCTAATGCCTCATCTGGCATCAGCTGTACCCTTTGATGAATGGAGTAAGTTTTTTTTTTAAATCTTGTTTATTAATGTGTAACACTCTGGCAGGGGAGGCAGGCTCACTCCTGAGAGGCCACACAGACCACATGGGGAATGGAGTAAGTTTTGGAGTTCTTTTTGCCTTACTAAAAGCCTGGAGAGAATTTCTAAATTAAAAAAATGCCAACAAATCAGGGTCCCCAGATGATAGCTTACAGATTCCTAGCTTTTCATATTCAAGGCTTTTTGATGCCTGGTATGACCACGGAAACGTCTCTGGACAGCGCTGGCTCTTCGGCTTGGAAACGGAGATGAGCACCGCATCCCTAGAGTCGGATTCGACTGGCTTTCAAGCAAGGGAAACCTTTACCTATGTGATAATAGCACGGAACTAGATGGTATAATATAGATTATATACGATAGCATTTTTTACCTGATAGCATTTTTACCACAAACATCTTTAGTATTTCACAGCCTTTGATTGATAACATTGTATTGGACAATTCAAAAGCACGAGATTTCATATCTGATGCCTACCAAAATCAAAAACATTCAGGAGATGCTAGCAAGTCAAACTGCAATGTTCCCATTCAAATGGAACATTCAAACATTGCCTCAAAATATCTCATTCAAAACCTTGACCAGTAAAATTGGAAATATTTAAAATTTGAAAAATGTGTTTTGGCACAAACCATGGGCAACAGCCCATGTGGAAACCACTTACCCATGGCAGGTGCAGCCATGCCAATACGGGACACCACAACCTGCATGATCGCTTGCTGAGCTGCCTTCTTGGACTCACCCAGCCGGTTCCCATTCTCATCTAAAATGGGGATGCCAAACTTTAACTCCCTGTAGAAATGGTTCAGAAAAAAAACACAGACCTTTAATGTCATTTTTTCTCGTGCCAGAAAAGTCTTCTGAGAGCCAGCTGTCCATTCTTCCAGTCTTTCTGGAGCACAGCTATACATTATGTGTAATTCCATGATTTACCCATGAACGTTCTGCCATGGAGCTAAAAGCAGCAATAATTGAATAACATAGCCCCACACCCCAAATCAGGACCGAGGTTTTAAGCCATGTCTGCTGGTTGGTTTCACAAATAAGATGGCCAGGACTAGTATAGTGCAGGACAATCATGCAATACCACCACACCTGGCTACACACACCATTCACTTAGAGCCAGCACCACACCCAACTCCGCTCCAGATGTTTGGACAAGGGGGGGAATGTCACACCAGCATGTCTAAAATACACAGTGGAGTCCTCTGAACATGCACTGGGACCAAGCAAACTGACAGGTGAACACACAGCCTTACAGCGCTATCCCAAGAGAAGTTACGCCCTTCTAAGCTCATTGACTTCAAAGAGGAAAGACACTCTTTGCTACTGCGCTTTTAAGCCGACATGGTGCAGTTTTAAAAATGTTGTATAACTGTAAGAAACTGCCAAAAGCTTGACATCGTGGAGCAGTGTCCCTATCACACTCTCGGCTCAATACAGAACACCATCTTACCTCTGTCTCATCAATGGGATGTTGATGCAGTTAGCAGCTGCCACTGCAGCAAAAGGCACATAGCGTCCAATGATTGGTGGCAAATGCTTCCAAGGAGGAAGGTTTAAGAATGAGAAAGAGAGATCCATATTACAAACTGAATCAGTAATGGAGGCAAACAGAATTACATTTTGCAAATATGCAGACCCCTCAGCAATCAAGAATTGACTTTCATCTTTGCCACTGATTGCCTGTGCAACTCTGAAGAAGTCTCTTCATCTCTTCTGACGGCAGTTCTCTCATCGATAAAATAAGCCTCAGCCCTAGTCCTCCTGCCATGCCAGATCCAGTATAAACTAATTCATCCATGCTACTAGACCACATGCAGGAAGGAAGGATTGAAAGTCTTGGCTTGCTCTATGGATATGTAAAGGAATTCTGTTATAAGCTTCTACAGAGGAGGAGAAGGAGAAGGAGAAGGAGAAGGAGAAGAGATTGAATTTATACCCTGCCCTTCACTACCCAAAGGATTCTCAGAGCGGCTTACAAACTCCTTTCCCTTCCCCTCCCCACAACAGACACCCTGTGAGGTAGGTGGGGCTAAGAGAACTCTTGACAGAAACTGCTCTTTTTCAAGAACAGCTCTTATCAGGACTACGGCTTGCCCAAGGTCATCCAACCAGGTGCATGTGGAGGAGTGGGGAATAAAACCCGGTTCTCCCAGATTAGAGTCTGCACACATAACCAGTACACCAAACAAGGTTGCATACTTCAAAACTTACATCCACTCATCAAAGAAGGACCCCATTTACTGAAATAAATAGAGCTTGCACCGTTACACCACTTAGCAGATTAAGTGGTGATACAACAAGGATTGTTGTCAGGGAGGCAATATTTCTAATAACGCAGCAAGGCTACCTAATCGCAGAGAAATCTCCTTCCAATTGTGCCTTAATCCTGCAATGAGAATGCCACTCTGTGGCAGGGCAGGCGGAGCCGGTCGGTTCCTTACCTTAGTGAGGGACTTGAGTCCCAGTGCCGTCACTACAGCTCCAGTAGTAGCGCTGATGTAAGCAGTGCCCAGCTGGCTGGAAGGGAAGTAGGCCAGCTTAGCAAGCCTAAAACATTTCTAGCAACAGAAATAACTTTATCTTGTTCAGCCCTACTCCTGGGAAATACCAGGAGTCTGTTAGTGGAACACATCCTTACCCCCTACCGCCACCCCTCCCTCAGGGCTCCCAAGTACTTACCTTAATTCGGCGGGGGATGTATAGTTCTTCGCGGGACCATTCCCGCGGGGAAAACACAGGCGCTGCACTATTCCGTCGCCCAGACGTGACGTAGGCACGTAACTGGGCGACACTCTTGCAATGGGGCTGGAAACTCGATGGTACCATCGAGTTTCCAGTCCCATTACCAGAGCGTCGCCCAGCTACGTGCCTATGTCACGGCTGGGCGACGGAATAGTGCAGCGCCTGTGTTCCAAGCAAGAATCTGCCGGCGGGGAAGCATGTGTCCCCCGCCGGATCATAGGTAGTTACTTGGGAACCCTACCCTCCCTTGAGGATGAGTAGCCACACCCTTCCTAGCACCACCAGCTCCCTCCACCTGTTCCTCTCATATCTTTTCTCTCTGGCCTCTGCACACTGCCCTTTTGCCCCCTTGGGCCCAGCACTACTTTCTAATTCGCGTTCCACTGCCATGGCTCCCCATAACCTCCTTTGCCCAACTCTCAGCTCTGAGGGCACGAACCCCAGAATTATTTTGCTTATCTGAGGCTGCGTTCACACGCGCCTTTAGATCCAACATGGCTGCGAGTGCCTGATGGATCTAAAGGGTGCAATCGGACAGGAGCATCTGGGAAGCGTCCCACAGTTGTCAGCAACCTGTGCTGCTCCACCACAGAAGCGGAGTTAAAAGACACTGGGGAAAGTCCAGCTCTAACGGGTTCAGAAAGGCCATGGATAGACTTTCACATGTCTGATTGCGCAAGCACGCTCTCGTGCCGTCGGGATGGTCTAATTATGCCATCCAAGCTCAGTGCCGTTCCCCTCCCCCCCTTTGCAGTATGTGCATCATCACATACTCCATAGGGAGCCCTCAGTGTGGAGGGGCAATTCCCCATTTATGCGCATGGGAAACAAATGGCCAAAACCAATATGACTCACCCGCAGTCGCGTCTGATCACACAGTGACAGGCTGTACCTGCAGCTACAAAGGGATGCGTACTCTCACAACTGCATGTCAAATTCCTCCAGAGGAAATAGCCTCCCTTCCCCTCTGCTTCAACTGGCGCGTGTGACCACAGCCAAAGACACATGACTGCCTCAGACAAAATCAGACCACTGGTTTATCAAGGTCAGTATTGTCTGACAGAGAATGGCTCTCCAGGGTTTTTCACATCCCCTGCCGCCTGATCCTTTTTACTGAAGATGCCAGGGACTGAACCTTGGAGCATCTACTTGCAAAGCTGATGCTCCGCTAGTGAGCCACAGTTCTTCTCTGCACCTAACCAAACAAGCAAAACCCAATTTCATAGTGCCTGGGCTCGCCTCTGGGCTATATGAAACAATCACAAATCTCTGAGGATGTGCAGAATAACTGACGTTCCCATCCACAGCCTTCTGAGGTTAGGTACCAGGGCATTCTGGGTCAGACAGTATGCCTCCCAGGCAAACATGAATCCTAAAATAGTCTTCAAAGCCACTGAGGTGCTTGTGTTTGTTCCCCATGGGCAGGACTCAAGTTGCTTCTTACTTGACAGTGATGGGAGCATCTCCACTCCGATTGGTATAGTTGACAATGGCGTTAAATGACTGGTTCACCCATTGCCAGAATAACACAGCAGGTGTTGTTCTGCAAGAAAAGAGAAAGTTAAGGATTCACACAGACCCATGGAGACAAAAAGAAAGGCAGCTGTCACAGAGACTATTCAGTGTGTGCTTGCCCCAACCCACTCACATTCTCATTGTTGCATACTTGTGTTCTCATACATTCTCGGCTTTGCATTTGCACAAGTCTGAAGACACTCCAAGTCTAATACTTGTTCCTCCATATATTCCCGTTTCTACACTCTCCCGGCTCTGGGAACACACGTGTAGCACAGTAGTTATGATATCACTAACCTCTTCTTGCTAAGTTTTCAAGCTAATCGAGCGTTCAAGCACTTTTCAACTGGCAATGAACTGTGTTTGCTTAAAGTTACTTTCATCTTGGACAGATAACTGAAGCAGTTACAGAAAAGTTAGATTACTTGCTTTTTAATAGCAGTTAAGAGCTGAGATTGGCCTCCTAATCTTGCTATATCAGGTGTAACTCATATGCTCCTGCTGATTGGCTTATATGCACTTGTGTTGATTAAAGATAACACTTCTATAAATATTCACTACTGTGACAAGCAAATCAGATTTCTCTGGTTCGAAGTCTCAGAAGAAGACTAGGTGAGATTTTTCTAGGAGTGTAACCTGGGTTTTTTTGATAATCCCTAATAGAAGTGTGGCAAAAGGCAAAACCTGATTTGCTTTTTGAACTGTTACCTGCTATAATATGATTAAGCAATGCTAGGAACTTTGATAATTTTAGTATTTATCTTCACAGTAATTTTATAGGGTTATGTGACAGACTGTACTTTTAAAAGCTTAGAAGTGCTGTATAAACAGAAAAAAAGGATTGTGAAGGGTTAACTCTTCACAGAGCCAGAGAGCCTTAAGTGACAGGCTGTTCCAAGAGATCTGATTGGTTAGCATCAGATGAGCAGAGAAAGACTTCTGAACTGGATGCTGAGGAGAATTCAGTCTGGCTGTTTTTGTAGCAGGAACTCCTTTGCATATTAGGCAACACACCCCTAATGTAGCCAATCCTTGAAGAGCTTACAGAACTCTTCTTACAGGGGCTACTGTAAGCTCTTGGAGGATTGGCCACATTAGGGGTGTGTCACCTAATATGCAAAGGAGTTCCTGCTACAAAAAGAGCCCTGGCCCCTAGCTGAGAAGAGTTGAGTACTGACAGGTTCGGAACTCCCCCCAGACTCAGAGTAGTTTAACAACAAATGGGAGAACTGGGGGGAAGTTGGCAAGGACGAGTGAGTAGTTAGACAGAGACTCCCATTTGGGCCAAGGAAAAAGGATACATATTCTAGAGGGAGAAGAAAATTCCCTCCCCAGTCAAACAGGGAGTTAGCTCTGAAGAGTGCAGAGATCCCTGGTCTGGTGTAGTTAGCAACTCCTTTGGAGACCTTAAGAGTCAGTTAAAAACTCAAGATGAGTACTGGTGTTTCAAGAGAAGTGGGCTGGGTACTGGAAAGAGGGTGACAACCTTCTGGAAACCAAAAGAGAATATGCAAAGAAAGTGTACTGGAGTAACCCTGACTTGGATAGCCCAGGCAAGAAAGATCTCATCAGATCTTGGAAGCTAAGCAGGGCAAGTATTTGGATGGGAGACCGCCAAAGAATACCAGGGCCGGTAGGCAGAGGCAGACTATCATGCCACTTCTCTAAATTTTCTCCATGCCCCAGTAGGAGTCACCAGAGGTCGCCATGACTTCCAGGCACAGGTGCGCACACACATACATATGCACACAAATTCCAAAATACAAAAAAAGTATATTGGAGTGTTTGGGAAAACACTGGAACAAAAGCCTCTTAACATAAAGATTTTAAGTAACTGTGAATAGCTTAAGAAACTCTAATTAACCTGAAATATAAGAATTAAAGTCTGGGCATGTACTGATTTTACCTCAGAGCTATCTGTATTAAATTACCAGAGAAATTTTACCCCTGATTTCACCTGACCCTTCCCCTTTTTGTTAATTAAATATTTTGTTAATTTGAAATATAAAAACTTCTCAGGTACCATTTAAGTAGTATAAGTTAAAGGGGGCTCCCATTCAAGGCTCCCTCTAAGTTGTGGAGTCTTGTGAGCAAAAATTCTACTTTGTGAGCTACAGGCATTAAAGCTGTGAGCCAGTGATTTGGCTACTGCATCAATTAGTTTGCTCTGGAGCCATCCTTCCTGAGCTAAGACAAAGACATGTGAGCCGGAGGCTAAAAAACTGTGAGCTAGCTCACACTAACTCAGCTTAGAGGGAACACTGCTCCCATTCCTTCCGTCAGGTTCCTGGGCTGAGCAAACAGCCAAAATATTATACTGTGACAGGGTGGGACAGCCAGAATTTCTCAGGAAAGAAGAAAACAGACAACTGGGGTGGCTCAGTCACAAAAGGGAAAGAAAAACGAAGGAAAAAATCTTGCCTCAGAGGAAAGGAAGTAGACAGGGGCATCACAGGTTAACTTTTCACGCCTATATGTTTTTTCTTGCTTAATAAAGAGAACAATTTCTTATCTCAATAAAACTTTTTCTACAGGCTCTCTGGTTGATTCGCTGGTTACTTACCCCCTTACTCTTTTGTATTATCAGAATTAAAGGTTGATAATCATCATTGAATAGATAAATCCTGAAGAACTCTACTGCTAAACAGTTTACAGAGGCAAAGCATTTGGAAAATGTTTAGATCAAATCCTCTAATTGGATACAGGAGGGAATCTCTCATTACACAAGGTCTTACCCACAATCACAATACGTTTTGTCATACGACTTCTTTCACGCACCATATGCAATGTGCTCACTCTTGCATTTACCTAAATAAGGTACAGTTTTATATGCATATTTGTTTCTAAACATACATCTTTGCACACATAAATCCCTCTGCCAATGTACACAACTATGCATACATGCATCTTTTCAGAATTAAAAAAATTCTACGTTGCAGTTCTGAGCATACACAATCACAGTTATGTTTTCTGTAATGTTCACAGCCTTGCACATGCAGATGTCATGCTTTTATATGCACACACACACCTGCTGCATAGACCAGTGGTACTCACTCTGTGGTTCATGGAGAGCCACATTTGCAATTACCTTAACAAAAGGAGACACGTCTATTTCCATCACAAGCATGAGGCTTGCACCTCCATGAGGCTCACAGCTTACCTGTTCCCCTGGCAGTCCCCACTGCAAGCTCCACCAGGCAATGGCCTGGTCCACTTTCCTGAAATATGGGACAGGTACCACACTGGGAAATGGTGCTCAGAAGAACCACATGTGGTTCCCATGCTACTGTGAGTATCACTGGCATAAACACATGCATATAACTGTCATGACATCTTAGACCATGCAGCCTAAAGGAGCCCTTTGCCTTAGCAAACTGAGCTTAGATCAGCCTAGATCAGCAAACGCAAATGTTCAGACAATGCTGCTTCCACCCCCTTAGACAGTACTTCTCCGGACTTAGCAATGAGCTGTCTCATGCCCTTACAGGTGTTCTGCATTGTGCCCATGCAAGAGGATGGACACTGGAAGTTGTGTACATGCCTGTAGAAGGTGAGCATGCATCCAGTGATGGTCATGTTCATGGGCACCTGGGCAGACATGCGCCCAATCAGGATCATCTTCTCGCCCGTGTCTGGGTGGAAGGCTGAGTCATAGATGTATTTTGCCTGCCATAGCTGGTCCTCAGTCAAGCCTGGTGACACTTTTCCCATCCTGGAATGAGCCACAAAAGCAAAGAAAATTGACAGTAGGTTGGGGGGAAAGAATCACTTATATTGTAGAATTAGCTGCAGGAAGATTCCATTCATGATTCTGAGAGAACAGAGGAACAGGTTTCGGAACAAAGAGGCATCTTGGAAAGGTAGGGCCACTGAGTGCTCCTCTTCTGCCTCCTCTGCATGGGTATATCCCTTGAACTGGAATGGATCTGACCTTAGGGCCCATTTGCTCTGGAGCCTTGCTGTGGACAGCCTGGAACAGATTTCTTCATAGGTTCTGACTGATTCAAACTTTTGGCTAGAATAAAGTATTTAGGAATTGCTATGTCCTCGAACTATGCCAAAACCCCTGGCCCCCATTAGTTCAGTGTTACACTGCCCCCCAAAATAAGCCTTCTCCACTTTTGAACTTCACCTTTTCAACCCATCCTTCCAACCCATGCACCCATCCTGCTCCCTGTTTGCTTCACTGTGCCTCCTCTACTTACCATTACTGAATGGCAGACAGCCACTGGAGACTGAATACACATGAAAAAACCATCACTTTCAGCGAAAGGAGAGAGATATGGTCGCTGAGAGCTACTGTCAAACCAGGTGCTTTAAGGCATTCCCCTACACAACACAATATCCTGCAGGATATCCCACCTACCACCTAATCTCCATTCCCCCCCCCCTTGTCATCACATCCCCTAAAAACCAAAGTAATCCCCAGACTAACAAGAGAACCTGTAATCCTCAACCACCCTCCGGGCCTCTTCCAGGGTCTTGCTAGAGAGCAGAAGGTTGCGGGGATCCGTCACTGTGAAGAAATGCTTTGCTCTTCCCGTGAAGGTACTCTGGTCCCATCGTGGCTCCTTGATGTTGATGTGCAAGGGCAATTCCCCTGACATCCTCTGCGGGGATCCAAAGAGAGGGAACAAAACAATTACATTTCTGCAAGACAATACGGGAACTCACAGCCCTACCTGCAAGTGAAGAGCCTGCAGTATCCACACTCACTTGAGGGTCCCTGCCATTTCATATTGTGCAGTGCCCCACCCAGCCAGTATGATTTGGAATCTCGATGAAAAATTTTGGAGACTCCCAAAAAGGCACCAAATACTTCTGCTGGTAATTTGCTCACTTTCTCTGCATGCAGAGACATGCAGAGTAGACACTGCCATTGCTTCAAATCAGGGGTCATTTCGTAGAAAAAGAGCTAGGGGGACTCATTAGCATAACTCATTAGCATATGCCACACCCCCTGACATCACCGGAAGTGTGTCCTCCCCACAGCCGGCGGCGACCTCCAGCGGGCACCAGCAGGTAGCTCCAGGCCCCGCCCTCCCGCACCTCACCCGGGGGGATGGTGTCCCCCCGCGTCCCCCCCCCCAAAATGACCCCTACTTCAAATACAAACTTTACACCTGGGGGGAAACTCCATGCCATCTGGCTCAGTAGTATTCCCAGGGACTGAATGAAGCCCATGATAACCTCTCTTGCATCCTCCTTCCACCTAGTAGAGGCACACATGGTCTTCCTTAAGAGGCAGTGGCTGGCTTAGATAACTTCTGCATGCCAAAAGGTAGCAAGTGACAAGTGACATAGACAAGTAGCAAGTGACGTAGACAGGATACAGCAGTCTGTGTGTACAAGGATTAGGACTGATCCTAGTCTGTTCCCCAAGTACAAAGGGGACATCCTCCTATAGATCCCTGTGATGGGGACAAATCCCACAGGTTCAGGGGCATCAAGCCCATCAGACCACTTTATACCTCCCTGATACACAACATGGACTTTTAAAAACTCACATTGCCTTTTTACTGTGCTTGAGAAATATCACTTCTCTAACACTTCCCTTTGTTGCCCCATAGACTGTCCTCTGTACCCCTGTTGCTGGCAAGGGCTGACACAGGCTACATCTGAACACATGGGGTTTTTTCCTTGTAATGCTTTAACCCCTTGACACAGCTGCTAAGAGAATCAGGACTGTCCAATGGCGAAGCAGGGAAGAGTCAGAGCCAGCTGTATATTTAGTCCTCAGTCTGCGACTGGCAGCATAATGGTCTTGGTTCCCAGCCCCTGAATACTTGAGTTAACACGGATCTTTGGCACAAGACTGTATCCAGCTTGGGTCCTGCAGGACAACAGTCTCACAGTACAGTCCTAGGCATGCCTACACAGAAGTAAGTCTCACTATGTTCAGTGGTGCGTACTCCCAGGTAAGTATGCACAGGATTATACACAAGGTTCAATCATAATCAGAATTACACCCATCTAAGTCCATTGATTTAGAAGGGTATAACTCTGTTTAGGATTGCACTGCCAATCTACCTTTCAGGTCTCTGCTTTTGACGGGCTTGAATGTTTTTCTTCTTGCTTGGTTTCCGTCACCCCTGCTTCTCAGTCCAGTCCTATACAGAGTGACTTCAGTCTAAGCCCACTGAAATCAGTGGGGTGACTCTGCAGATGACTGCACTGTCAGTTTCTCTAAAGAAGTTGAATTTTGAACAAGCTATTGGTCTGTTCCTTAAAACAATCGCTGGTGTGCACTGCAGCTCTTGATTATGTGATCTCTAAATGGTGTACATATTTGAAAGGGAGGAGAGAGCATCACCTGAGTTAAAAGTGGTAGTTATGAGGCTGAGAGATGCGGAGGATGTTTGCAAATGGGAGAGGATGGCGGCTGCAAGAATCTTATAAAGGCAAATAAAGTAGAAGGGAGTTCTCTGAAGTGTGTATTTAATATAGAAAGCAATTTAAATAAATGTTAAGAAGACTCACAATGGTTTTGTCTGTAAGAATAGTAAGTGGGAACCCGCAAGGACTTGCGGGGGGAATCTCATTTTCCGCTACCAAACTATTTCCCTTTCATGAAAACCTCCATAGGCTTTCCTCCTTTTCTGCTTCCTTCTCACCAACCAACCAACCAACCTACATTTATCTGCCCCTCTGTCTTCAGCTTTTCCTCTCCCCCCACAGCAGCCTCTACCTAGGAAAACTATGGTCCAGTTGTATGGTGCTGGCTACTGGGCCAAGCTCACCTGTATGGTAGGGAACCCTCAAGGAGCTGTAGAGGGGACCTCACTTTCCCCTGTATTCCTCTCCCTGCACTATTTCCTCTTTCCTCCTCTTGGCAACCCCATATCCTCGCGCCTTTCCCTGCCTCATTCTCTTTTTCTCAGCCACTCACCAACTGCCCTTTTATCTGCCTCCCATGTTTTATTCTTTATTTATTTCATTTATACCCCACCTTTCTCCACAGCAGCTTACATCATTCTCTTCTCCTCTTTTTTATCCTCACAACAACCCTGTGAGGTAGGTTAGGGTTTTTTTAAAAAATCCCCGTAGGGATATTTTTTATTTTGCATATACCACAAACCACAAAGAAATATAGGAGAGGGACTACAACTAGGGATAAAGAAAAGCAAACCACACTAGACTAAAACCCCAAGAGAAGGATATCTTTTCACTGTTAGTAAATATGTTAGTACCATTAGTTTTATTATCACAATATACTTGTTGAGTTCTTGCTTATAACAATTCGCTTCTTGTATGTTATTTTGTTAGTTGTTATGAGAGAAGTCTCTGATCATCTTCTTATTCTTTGCTTCAAAAGGCCATTTTCCAAGTCCTTCTGCCTTTACTTCGGCTTTCTGTCTCTAATCGTATACCACTCTGGCAGGTCCTGCACCCTTTTCTGCCGCAGAATCCTCTTCCGTTCCCGAGGTAGCAGAGTCACTACCGGAACCACCCATCTGTACGATATTCCATTCGTTTGAAGAAAATAAATTAATTCCTTGTAATTTTTCCTCTTTTGTCTAATTTCAAATGGAATGTCCTTTAAAGTTTTAATGGTTACATTTCCCATTTTCAGTGGAGTTGCTGATGTTGCTTTTAAAATGGCATCTCTGGTTTGTCTTCTTGAAAACTTGACCACTATTTCTCCAGGTAGGCTATTTTTTTATATATAGTTGGAGTAAGCCCTATAGGCTGTCTCCATTTCGTTTACCAGTTCATCCGCTGTTAAGCCTACTACTGGAGCGATGATCTCACTGAGCACCCTCTTCAAGTCTTCCCGATCCGTTTCAGGAACCCCCTGAAAACTGAGAATCATGTTAGCTTTTTCCATCTGAAGCTGCAAGACTCGATTCTCTTGGCAATTCTGCTTCATTTCCACCTCTCCCATCCTTTTCTTCAACTTCTTACTTGTGGTGTCAATCTCTTTAATTTTCTCGTTTGCCTGCTCCACTTTTTTCTCCGTCTGGTTCAGCTGAAGCTGCTGTGCTGCAAAGTTTTTATTCATCACAGTCAATTGCTGGTTAATACCATCGAGTTGTTCCCTCACCGGCTTGAGCATATCCGCCAGGAGTTTGAGGACATCTGCTCCCTCTTCCGGTTTCGAACTCTGCCCGCCCGGCTTCGTTTTAAACTTTCTCTGCTGGGCCGCCATCTTTCCCATTTTGTTTACAGTTTCTGCCGCTTCCCCATAACTCGGAAAACTCGCCAAACGACTTCGCAATTCAGATAAGTCTCTCAAAACACTTTCGGTTTACTTCCTCCCCTCTCCCCCTTCGTGTCTTAACCGCTGATTCACAAAAGAGGCGTCCCTCTTTTCAACCTCTGTTTCCAATCGCGGGGGGGGGATCGCTTTTCAAACTACTCCATTTTTATTCAGAACTCACGTTCATTGTTGACCAGTTTATCTGACCACGCTCGGTTTTACGGCATTCCGCTCAATCTCTGGCGCTTGTCCCGGTCAGTCCAGCTTATGCCTGAAGGCCACTCAGCGACTGGAATATCGGGGCGGAGGGGAGCCTCAATTCTCCGGCATTATGCCATCGAAGAGGCTACCCCTCAAAAGCCCCCTGGCCTGGAGCCTATCACAAAGGCTCCGCGGGGGTGTCACTTGAGGTGGCACCCCTCCAGGCTGCTGGTGTGTGATTCGCCCTCCTCCATTGTGAGGAAAGCGCTTTTCCGTCGACCGGAAGTCCGAGGTAGGTTAGGTTGAAAGTATGTAACTGCTTCCACAGCAAGATGGAGATTCAAACCTCCCAGACCCTACTCTGAAGCTCTAACTGCTACACCATGCTGGCTTTAATAGGGTGCTTGCTGTTGAAGAGTAGCAAGCAGCCAGACCTAATCAATTCATGCAAGTTGGTTAGTATTGAGTTATTCAGTGGCTGCTGCCAAGCCAAGAATTGCCAGCCTCCAGGTGGGACCTGGAGATCACAAAGAATTACACCAGAATTCCAGATGACAGAGATCTGTCTCCCTGGAGAAAATGGCTAGTTCAGAAGGTGGACTCTATGGCATTATATCTGGCTGAGGTACCATCCCTCCTCAAACCCTGCCCTCCCCAAAATCCACCCCAAAACTCCATGAATTTTCCAACTGGAGCTGGCAACCCTAGCCAGGCCTGGCCCCAATGAGTCTTCCCTCAAAGGCTGTAACAGCCCTGGAAACGACCCTACCCCCCCTACTTTTACTCACAGAAACAAATCCTATAAGAAAGTTTGAGTCCAATGGCACCTTTAAGACCAACAAAGTTTAATTCTTGGTATAACCTTTCATATTTCATATTGCTTATTTAATATATGTGCAGAGTACGTCATGCGAAATGCTGGCCTGGATGAATCACAAGAGGGAATTAAGATCGCTGGGGAAAAGATCAACAACCTCAGATTTGCAGACTATACCACTCTAATGGCAGAAAGTGAAGAGGACCTCAAGAGCCTCTTGCTCAGGGTAAAAGAGGAGAGTGCAAAAATGGGCTTGAAGCTCAACATCAAAAAAACTAAGATCATGGCATCCAGCCCCCATCACTCCTTGGCAAATAGAAGGGGAAGTCGTGGAAGTAGTGACAGACTTCACGTTCCTGGGATCCCAGATCACCACAGACTGTGACAGCAGC